GAATCTAAACTTTTTGTCCCTCCTAATGGCCATTGGACTAATATCTTATGATTGTACAATATATTATTTAGCATATATAATATGTCATCTGGTACTATGGGCCTGTTTGGGCAAATGAATTTTTACCCAAGTTTGTCTTCTACTAGTTTTTTAACAACTTTAACTATAGTAATCTTAAAAAACTCCTCAAAAATTTTAAATTACACACTTCAAAATATCCGAAAACACACAAAAAATTTCTCTTCTTCCTTTCTCCCCCACTTCAACCCACTAGGCCACCACCACCTCCGTCATTGGCCACTAGGTTGAGAAGGGGGAAGGGGAGGCGGCGGGGGAGAGGGGAGGGAAAAGGGAGGGAGAGGGAGGAGAGAAAGAAAGAGAGAAGAAAGCAAATAATAATAATAATAATTGCAACGGCTGCCAGCGGTGGTTTCGACGTTGGCGGCTGGCAAGTGGTGAGGTGAGGAAGAAGAAGAAGAGAGGAAAGAAAAGGAAAAAGTAAGAAAGAAAGAAAAAGAAAAAAAAAGTTTTACATCTTAAAAATTTTTTCCTACAACTTCTATCGTAAATTAAAGTAAAATTTTATACAAACACCCAAAAACTCATTTGTCAAACGGGCTATGTGTAACTCTCACAATTTATAATTTATTCACACGCTTATATAGCACGACAAAAACATTGGTGGATTTAAACAAACTTTTTTTTTAAAAAATGGTTTCTACTAATCGTTGCACTTTTTCAATGGGGATCCGTACCTGAATTCTTATTAGGCTGGCAATGTACTAATGGTGAACTATCATTTAATATTTTAGGGTGAAATTAGCCCTTGTGGCAACTTGCTGCGTGGTAAAGAAAAAGTATGTGTAGATTATTTATACAAATTCTTTTTTATTATTAAGAGGCCCCCGATTGTGGGGAGTGCAATATAGTAGCATATTTTAGCATTTAAAGTATCACTTCGTCCTTTGAAATTTTGAAATGATACTCCATCTTCTCGGCTTCTCCTTCCTTGTTTTTGGGGATTATCAAGTGCGTTCACGGTTCACCGTGCTACAGAAAGTTTGACATCAGCACCGTCAAATGAACCAACTAGGATCTCTGATATAAGTTAGATACATTGCACTGCCAACAAGAAGGGATCAACACAGTCAAGGTTTTCTTTTTTTTTTTTTTTTTTTTCGAAAACGACCACTGTAAGTATATTCTCATCTATCCTACATTAGGGAAGGGAGTAAATTTAAGGAGGTTCAGGAGTAATTCGGAGGAAATTGAACCATCACCGGATCAAACGGATGTATTACGCACTCGCCTGAATTTTTTGAAGCAAATCCATATTTTAATATGATAATTAATGAGAAACAAAATTTGAACCCTTACCTTCCACCCTCATCGAGCTTTAAAGGCTTGATGGTGGCCATGGTTTCAAGGTTTTCTTTCAATCACGGAACTTTTGTCAAAAGGGAAAAGGAACAAAATAAGTTAGATATCATCTGGAATCCTACACGACACGACAAAAATAGATGCAAAAGATTGGGTTGAGAAACAACGACAATACATGCATAATTCCATAGTCCAAACTCCGAAACAAAGCTCCGTAGGAGAATGAACATTAAGCAATCATTAGGGGCTCTAAAAGCAATATGCTCCTGTACCAACCAGATTAGGAAAGGGTCCATATCTACCTACCTACTAGATAAGTGAGCAACTTGAGTTGCCGATTGAATGCCAAGTGTTAAGCTCTTATTGAAGGAAGGAACTTTGTTTTATTCATTTAAATCTTAAAGAATGGTAAATGTCTATTTGGGACTTGATCTTACAATTGAGAATTCCAATAGTAGCTTACTATTTAAGGGTCAATTGATAATAATGGATTAAATATATTTATTTTTTAACTTTGTTTGTGTTTTAATAAGTGTTAAAAGTCAGTTGCATCCTTTTGTGAAAGGTGGTTGTTTCACTTGTTTGAATAGTTACTAACTATTTAGAGCTATTTTTGTATGTTTGAAAATATTTCCTTCTTATTTTTCTGTTTCGATGCAAATAGTTTGATACTGTTTGTCGATTGATCTAAACATATGGGTCAGTTTTAGGCCTCTCACTAAAAGCACAACAGATCTTTTGTCCCACATTCTGTGTTATTTTCTGTTCCACTTTTTATTAAATTGTTATTTCTCCTTCATAAATATAATGTTTTAGTTTTTTTTTGTTTTCTTAAAATTCAATAACTATTAATTCAGTAAAAAATAAATACAATAGCTTCAAAAAAGCAATATATAATAGAAAATTAAAAAATACAGCAGCAAATTCATAAAAAAATCTCATTTTTTATGCGTTTTGATTTTTTGAGTTTGTTAAATTTTGTGTATTACTGAATTAATAGTTATTGGATCTTAAGAAAATAAAAAAGAATTAAAACATGATGTTTATGAAGGAGAAATAGTAATATAATAAAAAGTGGGACAGAAAATGACACAGAATGTGAGACAGAAAATCCGTTGCGCACTAAAAGTCTCTTCTTCTCCGTTTCTTCCGCTCGGATAGCCGAATACGAACCTGCAAAAGATGCCACTGTTCTACCAATTTTCTGAACAAAGCATTGTACTTTCTCTTGGTTAGAACCACAAAAACCCTCCACATGCACGTGATTGCATTTGCCCCAAGAATCAGCTTCTTTTAGGGATTGTACTTGGTTTGAATTTACCAGCGAATTCTTCCCTTTTTCCTGCTACGAAGTGATGTTTTCTTTTAGAAAACAATTTTTAATGATCTATGGTACGGTGTCTAAAACCTACCATGTATACAAAAGGGAGAAGGGAAAGGAGAAACCCTTTAGATGTTGGTTCTTTCTTTCTTTTCGTCATATTGAGCAAAGGATGAAAAACTTAGGTACGATTCTGATCTTGCCTTTTTTTTACTGTTAACTGTGATTTTTGCTTCAGAAATCTTTCATATCTACTTGATTTAGAGAAAAACAGCTTGGCTTCAAGCAACTGGGAAACTTGCCTTTGGATACGCTAAATACAGGAATAGTGAATGCAAACATTGATTGGATTATCTGTTGTCCTTCTTGCAAGCAACAAAGTGAAGTTGATATGAGGTAAAGTTACCAATTCATGCTCTTTAATTACAATTTAATCCTCTTTCTGCATTTAAATTGATGTTAATTTCTGTTGTTGAATTTGACGGCTCGAATTCCAATCATTTTAACTGATGATTCAGGAACAATCAATTGCACTATATCTAGAGAAGGTGCAGAAAAAATGATTCTATTCACTTCATTTCAGCATAAACTGGTACAAGAAAGTGTAAGTGATAACTTTCTATTTTATATCCATGCATAACAAAAAAGATAACAACAGCATACTACAACTCAAAAAATAATTTTTGCTGCAGCACTTTGAAGTAGACACTGAACTTAATGGTTCCTTGAAGAAATATATACTTGTCTACTTTCTCAAGGCTTATGAGACCCACTTTTAAGACCAGGGACAAATTAAAACTATTGTGTCCAAAGCTTACATTGCAGATAATCTGTTACTGTAATATTTCCAGATCGCACCGAAGTTTCTTCTGCAGCGGGCACTTCCTCACCAAGATATCAAAAAAAAAAAAAAACAACAACAAACAAAGGAAGAAAAGTTCACACCAACCACTGAGTTGGTGCTTGAAGAAATTGCTGGAGGCAATTTTTCCACGAAAAATGATGCATATGGGAGCAGTGGAGTAAATAGGAGCCTTGATTTTCCAAAAGGGCTACCTGAAAATGAAGCTACACAAGTAGAAACACTATCCAAAGAGCCATCCAATATTTCTGAGCAGTGTACTAGAGAATGTCCAGAAGATAGCAATCCGCCTGAGAATATTGAAGATAAGTCCAGCAAAGAAGCTTAAGGGCAAGTAGGCCTAAACTGCTTTAATTATGATACTTTTATTAAATCTTTTGTTAGATAGCTAAATGATTAGGTCCATTGCTTTGATACTTTCTTTGAAACTGCTTCAGTCCTTGACAAATAAGGGATCATGAGATAGCTATTAATAGTTTAGTTTGTTATCTTGCACCTGCATAGATCATGAAACTTAATTGCAAGTGCTAATATGTATGAAGATCCAGTCTTAAAGCACATGTGCTGTCAAAAGCAGAGTTATTAAACCCCGCCCGGCCCGGCGGTTGAACCGGTCAAACCGGTGGACCGGTCATTGGACCGGGCCGGGTTTGGAATCAGATCGTTTGTGCAAAGAGACCGTTGACTTAGTCAACGACCCGGGGGTCGAACCGGGTTAAACCGGAAACCCGGCCGGTTTTGTCACTAACCGGATTTTGTGGAAAAATTATATTGCTATTGTTGAGACTCGAACTTCCGACCTCTGTCCCCACACTACCGCTTGCTTACCACCAAACTACTTCCAAATATGTTAATATAGTAGCTTTAGTATGATATATAAATGTTTTTTCAATTCTATCTTTTTTTCTCTAAAACAAATTTATTTGGAATCTTTTAATAAAAATTTATTATCCTCCAAACTCTATAAGTTATAAAATGGATTCCAAAAATAACATATTACATAATTCATTTAAAGACAAATATTATTTTAAATAAATTTTTACACTTAAAATTCATAAATAAGCTAGATAATTACACTAAATATAGATAAAATTTTACACTTGAAGTTTGGTATATTAATAAATAACTTTATATTTGATTGATTCTTATATGAATTAATTATTTTATAACAAATTAAATTAAATGAGCTTTTGTTATGGCATTATTTATTACAATTTATATCATATATCTTATATAAATAATTATGAAATATAATATTTAAATATATGTAGTGACCCACCGGTTCAACCACTCACCCACCGGTTCAACCAGTAACCCGTTGACCCACCTCCTTCGCCGGGTTCCTTCCCGGGTTGGGTTTAATAACTATGGTCAAAAGTGAATGATTTTGTTCATATAATCTTTGCCACTGTTTTAAATGTTATTTACCTCTCTGTCTTTTAAACACAATTAGCATATCAAATCCACAGATATATTATCAACATCCACAAAATTATCTGGATTTTGCATAGGACAAAAATGGAGGACTAAATAAACAACGAAAATTATCAGTGGATAGGCCAGTGCGTAGCACGGCCAGATCCAAGCTAGTAATGGTAAAGAAGAAAATGATTCGATTCCGTAGTGTCATAGGCTTGTCCTTCTCGCAGGAAATAAGCAGCAAAGACTTTCTGCTTTGCAATCACCAAACAATTAGGCCCATGATTCCACAATCAGAAGCAGGAAGTGATGTTAGCGACCAACTGGTATGAATCCCTAATGAAGAGAATTCAGAGCTGGAAACCTTTTTCTTTCACAAGCCTGCTCTTGAGACAACTCGCATGCAGTTTCCCTCGACAACCAGATTGCACCCCATTCTAAGGACAAAGATACAACATCAAAGAGCCAAGTTACGGACTTATCCACTTTAGCCTGCCGGAAGCAAAAGGTTTTGGATCTTGAAATTCAAAATAATTTCCATCACAGCATTTGAGTGCAAATAAGGCCCTTCATTTTCGGCGAATCTTGAGCTTAAGAGCCCACTGAAGCTTCCCATCTGGCAAAGGAATGGACCTTGGTAGGCGCAGTGGAACCTCAAACTCTCCAAAAGCTGCCAAAGGAGTTGGAAGATGCAAATTTTCAGGTTCAATGTGCACTGAGAGCTGTCTTGCAACCTAACAAGCCATCAAAAAGAGTCAGCATATAACAAGGGTTTGAGAGATTTGTTTTTCACGCTAACCCTATAACGCTGATGGCTCTAAGCAACAATTTAACCTTCAAAATTAACAAATCTACTTTCATCGAACAGACATCCCAAACTCTTCCTTTTTCGAGTTTTTGACATTACACTTCAGCAATTGTGCTGGTGGTGGTGGTTGTCAAGGGTAGGGGTGGCAGATAAATGTCAGCATTTTGAGCATCATCATGCAGCACTCAGTGAAAAGTATCTGCCCCTAAGATTTGTATGACATTCTGCACAGATACAAGGGCATGGACCTATTTACCGCCACCAATCACCCTGGCTGTTTCCTTGTTGCAATGTTACAGGGAAATCTTCCAACCGCTAAATATTCAGGAGTCCATGTTCAGGTTCATCTAACAAGAAGTGCAATGAAAGGTCCAAGGACTAATGCTATTGCAGTGGCCAAGTTGGCATAAAGGTCTCTCTCAACCACCATGTTCACCTAATGTCTAAAAATTTCAAATTCCATTTGAGAAAGTTGTAGCACTCACAGTGAAGAACAAAATTAGCACCCTTCAAGCCCATGATGAAAATGCTTCTGCACATAGAGTCTATCCTACTCAAGTGGATGAATTTCAAATTCCATTTGAGAAAGTTGTAGCACTCACAGTGAAGAACACAATTAGCACCCTTCAAGCCCATGATGAAAATACTTCTGCACATAGAGTCTATCCTACTTAAGTGAATGTGACATTCATTTTCTTTTTCTTGCTCAAATGAAAGACCATTCTGACATACTCACAGCTCATGATATAAGAACTCATCTCTGCAGTTTGATTGTACATTAGTACATATCTTTGGTACACAGAGAAATGCACACAGACGCAGAAGAATAAAAATCTTTAATACAGTGAGTAACCAGGTTGTTCAAAATTAGTCATACTATTAATCAGATGACTTGTCACTTCTTCCCAATAGTTATTATAATGCCACTAGTTGCTAGACACTTGTGCATTCACTAATCTATATGTTCTCCACATAAAGAAAGTGAGCGATCAACATAACAAGTCCAAAAAATATCAAGAAAACATGGATAGGAAGAAATTACCTCAGCTACAATTTCATCCTTCGTCACAGGTTCACGCACTTCGTTATCCTTTGTAGTTAACTTCCGCAGAACCTAGAAGATTGTTAATCAGATTAAACCAAACAAAGAAAGATAAGGAGATGTATTGATTGATTTGATTCGGTACACTGTCAAACACCACTTAGAGTACACGTGAAACACAAAAGGAAGCACTTTATGTTAGGCGACAAGAGTGTTCCCCAACAAAAAAAAAACCAGCTTTAGGCAATCAAAGTTGTCAATCTATTACTTCATTCGCTAACAAATAATCAACAAATAAAATGCTTTCTTATGGTTAACTTCAACAGAAAAAGCATAAGTAGAGAATACAAACCAACTTAGCACTATCAAGGCGTCTCGCTGCAGTCTGATATTCTTTCATCCTGTCTTCTTCAGTCTTTGGCACAACCATTTTAACCTCTTCAACTTCCTTAGGTTGGTAAATCTTGGAAAAAAAAAAAAGAGCATAGCTCTTAATGAGTAGATGATATCGATTAATATATACAAGAAAAGAAGCATAATGATGCCAATTTTGAAGCTTCAATGGAGATAATTTACAAGCTGAGTTATAAATCTCAAGTTAAAAGAAAATACATGGCTGTTCATTGAACAATGACCACTAAAATAGAGAAATAAAAGCTGAATAACCACCCCAAAGAATAGAAAGGAAAAGATTAAAAAGGCTAAAGTTGGTACTCCACTAAATTTTCCAGCGGCAGAAACCTTTTCTCTGCCCGTGTTCTTCTTCTTGTAGAATTTCACAATACAAGTTGTATAAAGCACAATCAATAACACAAACACTGATAAAAGATCGGAGTTTGTTTTCAAAGTACATATGTTTCAAATGCAAGACTTCACTCCATATGTTACTGGATTAACAATAATGTTGACTTCCATAAATGCAAACTGCGAGAATAGAACATCTAACTGATGTGAATAACTAGCACATGCAAGCAGACTGCTGCAACCACAATTAAATCAATGGCCAAGTTTTGCAAATATAAATACTAAACTCAACGTATCATTTCAATTGGTTAAGCATCTATGCTGTTCCTTGATGAGCGCAATTGTTTTTGGATAAGTTACCTAAATTTTACATCAATTCAAACATTAAAACACAAATACCAGAAATAAGGGAGTGTAATACACCATCATGACATCCCCCACCAATGAGGCATGCTCATAATCATGCTAACCCTTCAAAATTTCCACAACCTATTTAATGGCATTTAGACATTTAAAGACATGATTTCCCCAGCTCATCATACTTCATACACAATTCTAAAGATAACAAAGGCCACTCTTCCACTGGATTAACCACAGTTTTACTTCCTGTGTAAGTCCTATTTCCTGAAGGCCTTTGATCATTTAATTCCTCACATTCATCTTTCCTACACTTAGGATATCAGGAGTTCTGTCCAAAAGCAGATGTAGATAGATTATAAGTAACCTGTAATCAAATTTGTTGGCTTATTTTAGCACGTGCAGCATGCACCTAGACACGGTGAAGCAAAGAACTGTTACACCACCATATCAATGCAGGGGAAAAAAATCTAACTCGATCACATTCTTAAGAACTCTAGCCTCATTCACTCACGCAGAAAGAATTTGACCAAAAAATAGAAATGAATTACACTGTCAGGAAAGATTAATCTAACACACTTGTGTTCTACAGAATTCTAGTCTCATTGTCTCACACAAAGTAGAATTTCATCACAAATAAAAGTAGCAAAGAGAAAAGGAAATATACCTTACGCTGCTCGCTAATCAGGTATGCAAACTTATCAATATTTGGAACAGCAAGCAATTTTGGCATCAAATGGTTCCGGAAAAACCCCGGTTTCACTTTCACCGTTTCGCCTGCCTTTCCCAGCTTGTCCATGGACTACAAATTTAATTAAACAAAACGTTAACCACAAGAAATTCGCAAAAATAAAAATTTATTACTAGGACAAAAAAATTGAAAAATGGTTCAAAATCTACTTACAGTAGTGAGAATGACTTCCAACTTTCGATATCGGACGCCTTGAGCAGCGAAAAACAGGGGGTTGGGAAGGATTTGGTCAGAGCCACGGCGTAGGATATGCCTTCCGTATTGTAGGTAAGCCATTTGTGAAAAGTCCTCTAAAGAATCAGTATCAAATTATGGTTTATGAAGGGTTTTATGAGGGGACAAAAAGTTATATATCCCTATGCAAGTTTGAGTCTTTTCTTTACCCTGTTTGGTCTCAGGAAACCAGTGTGGAAAAGGAAAGAATTCCTCAGGAAAGAGTTTCCTTGGAAAAGAAAGCCTACCCTCTCTTTTTTGCAACTCACCGGAGGAAGAAGAAAGAAAGAGAAACAGAAAGAGGGGAAAATTCGTGCGATTGGACGACTACTGGCCGGAATTGTTGCCGTCTCCGAATCTGTCGCCGCGTGGAATTGGGTAGAACAGTAGCTGCGGCGGGCGGATGTTTAGTGGTGAGGGGGACTTTCTGGACTGAAAACGATGGAGAAGAAAGAAGTTTAAAAAATGTCAGTCTAGCCCCAAATCTTTTGCTCTATGTTCTTTCAACTTGAGAAATCTTTTGCTCTATGTGCTCAACCGCTTTCAGAGTTTTATGTCATATTCCCCACCAAGCTTTACTTTTGAATGTCACGTATTGGCCCACCAATTTTTTAAAGAAATAATTACATTAATTAACTTCTAAATAACTTTGACTAAGGATGCATTTGACAAAATTGAAATATGAAATTTGAAGTTTGAAATATGAAATATGAATTTGAATTCCATCTTTTATATAACAAGCAGGTTTGTTTCATATATTAATCAAATCTTTTTGTCCAGAATATATCAACTTATAACAAAAACATGTTTGATATCACTTAGTTACAATTGAAATATGCAACTATTATTGTCTAAAATGTACCACAAGCACAGACACTATGTGAGGACTCAAAATTTTCATACCTTTCGTGTTGGCTTACTTGCTTGTATATATAGTGAATGATAACGGATTGTTGTACCTTATTATTTCTTTTAATTGATTGCCTAACGTTTTGTGGCATGACATATTTATGGAAAGAAAGAGATTTTAATACAAGAGATTTCAAACCATAGCTTTGACCAAGAAAAGAAAAAAAAAAGTTTTGTTCATTTTTGCTCAGTTTTAGATGTTTGCAAGTTGTGTTGTGACCCGACAGTTAGTTACATATTTTCTTTGATTTTCATTTACTTGCCTCGAATTCTTGGTTGTTTTATTAGTTGAATCATGATTTTGACCTATTTTCTTATTTTACTTGGTGCATGTTTCATTTGATGTATGTTAGGTTTCATTGTGTATGACACTAGTGTGATCGACTAGTGAAGTGCGTGCGATAAATTTGGAGGATTAGAGAGAGTTTTGCGCAAAAGGAATTATATGACAAGAGGTGTTAAGAGTTAATTAGAGGGGCATTACATATGTTAGTGATTAGAGACAAAAAAGATAGACAACACATCTTTCCTTGACATTTGTCAATTAACCAACCAATTTTGACCAAGACCAAACCTTTTTGTTACTTATCTTGATCAAACGTTCTTGTGTTCATAACTTTCTTCTTTTTGCACACATGATGGACGAAATTTTGAGAGAGGAAAGGGAGAGAAAACACAAAAAAAATCCAGCCTTGATCTCTTGCTTGAATCATGAAGAAACCCAAGAAAAATCCTAATCCACTCCATAAAACCTTGAATCAATCTTGGAAAGGCTATTGGAGAAGTTTTAGAGGAAGAAAGCCCTGCAACCTTCTTGATTTGTTTGCTATCCTTGGGTTTGGAGGTAAAGAGGTGAACTTTGATAGAAATCTTCCCTTATTATTGAGTTTAATTGACATATGATGTTATAGAAGCTAAAGGAAGGACTTGTATGGTGAATTTCATGATTTTTAGGTTATGTTGAGAAATTTCCAACTTTTGTTTTGTGAGGAAAAAGGAGGTAAAATTGCTATAAAACCTTTCATTTCTCCATTACTTTTGGGTATTCTAGTTGTATGTTAAATTTAAGCCAAAAGGTACGAGTTTTGTGGAAGAAAAATCACTTTTCTAAGTTATAGGTTGCTGAAATTTTGATTTAGGGGCATGTGATGGATAGTTTTGATTTGCAGCCTTGTAATTGGAACTTTAATGGATTTCTTTGGTAAGAATACATGCTATATAACTCATGACATGTTGGATATGATATATTGTGTAATTGCCATGGAAATAAGGTTGAAAGTTGGAAGTTTTGTTGGAAAGACTTGGGGAAAATTTACTGAAATTTCTACTAGAGTTGGCCGATTAGGAGAGAGGAAATTGTCTAGCTTTTCACCATGATTTGTGACTGGTAAATCCTACTTCGTTACTCAATATACTTTATAATACATTAATCTAAAGATGTATGTTGGAATTAAGTGAAAAATAAAGAGTTTTAAGGGGGGAAAACTTTGTTTCCTCAAACTCTACTTTTGCTGGAAATTTTTGCAGGAAGTTCTGTGTAGTTTTGGGAAATTGGCTATAACTTCGTATAGAAAAGTCAGAATTGAGTTTCGTTTATTGTGTTTGAAACTAGACTCATAGGGCTTTCAACGGTATAAAATTTAGGGTTTAGTTCAACTCCTCTAAATACCAGAAAATCTGCAAAGTTTCTCAAAAACCATGACTGTTCTAATTTTGCACATGAGACAGCAGTGATTTTAAACTGAAAATTTGACTAACCTATGGGCTGAATTTCATAAAGATGTCTTCTAAAGCCTATTAGTGCTTTGAGTCTTTTTTCTAACGGTATAAGATTTATGATTTTTTGACTTACACAACTCAAGTTATACATTTTCAAAGAATATCACCAAAGTTGAAAATTTTATCAGATGGATTCAATGGGACTTGAAAAACTTTGGAAAATATTTTCTGGGATTGAAACCTTATTTTGATGAGATTTTGGATGCTTAAATTGCTCTCCTCACTTTTAGAATACATTTAGATTTTTCCTTGATTTGCACCTTCGAATTTGCTCTTGAACCCTGCGTGTTTGAGAAGTCATCTTGTATAGGCTTGTGGCTCATGGTTGAGCCTAATATACGAACTTTGTTCACTTAACCTTTGGATAGTAGGACCATAATATCTTTGTCTTGGTTGTTCTTAGAGTTTGTTGGTGAGCACGAGCATAACCCAGGGACGAACTTTTGACATTTACTCTACTGATATCAGTGAGTGTTCCTTGCATGTGTATGCTTTAAATAACTATGTGAAATGTTGTGAATGTTGCCGGAATGTTAAATGCTTTCCAATGATTGCTAAATGGATTTTCGATGGGCGAGTGTATTCTTTATCACACTCGACCCAAGCAAAAGTGAATTTTCAATGATTGAATGTTACTTATGCATGAATGTAAGTCTTTTGGCTGAACTGGACCATTGCCCTTTGACGAGTTTTTATTATACGTACAAGTTAAAAAATCCGATTTACACCCGTTTCACTGCAAGTGTACAGGTCAACTAGTAGTTTAGGATATATATCGGGTCGATCCCACGAAGAAGATTGAACAATTACCGGCACTACTAAAGCTTATCTATTATTTAGACTATCAATGAATTATAACAAGTAAAACCTACTGAACTTATACAAGAAAATAACAAATGAAGCTCCTTAGGTTATAGTATCCCTAACTACTCATGCAAGTGCTATATCTGGATCATTGAGTACTACTATCTAGGTTAGCTATGGTGTAATTTCCTTATGCATATGAATCCTACTTTCGTAGTGAATCAATTATACTCATAACTACTCCATACCTATTCTCATGGTTATGAAATTAGCTACAAGTTCATTTCTTCAATGAAATTACATGAAATGAATCACTTAAAACTACATAGGTGCACCTTTACTCTCGTGAGTGTACTCTCTATGTTTAGCACTTCTTGAACTAGTGTTAAATCTCAATTTTCATTGAAGATATAACACCCTAGATAATCACAATTAATGGTACCAAATTAATTATGATTTAAAGAGCTAAAGTGCTAAATAACTTGTTCAAATAATGGCATCAAATATCCAAATAATAACCACTAATAATCATAGTAAGTTCAACCAAACCCAAGGCATAAACTTTAGAGACATATAAATAACATAAAATCCAGAACTTGTATATTAACTAAACCTGTAATCCAAGTACAAAAGATAAAGAATTGGAAAGGAATGTAACCCTTGTCACATGAGTTCATCTCCTTGCCTTCTTCATCCTCCAACATCTTCTTCATCTAGCTAATAAACAAGAAGGATGAGCTATACTACTCTATACTAACCTACTACTGAGAAAATGTAAGAACTACATTTCTGCACTCTCCAAGCTTTCTCCCGTATGTCTCTCTTCTCTGGTTGTTTTGTATATAGATTCTTGAAAAGTTCCTCCTCTCCACCGTTTTTTCCTCCACCTTGATTCTCAAATCTTCAATTTGTTAGGAAAGTAAAAAACAATGGTTTTTGACTTGAAACTTTGGCTATACCTTTTCTTTTTTATCTTCTGAACCATGTGCAACCGAATTTCCTTACAAAAAATAGCTGGAAAGTGGTGTGAATATAAGAGAAATGGCTGAACAAATTGCAGAATTTCGACTACAAAACGTGACTTGACAAAACGCGGCTTTAAGCCACATTTTGATGACTCGCGTTTTCAACTCTGTGTTTTTTGCCTCATTTCAGTTGCTATTTTCTCTATGATTAAGGCCGAACTAGCTTTTGTGCAAAACACAAAAGTTGTAGTCCTTTGAATTAGCTTTACAATACTTCAAGAATCATCCAAATATGATCTTTGTAGACTGAGATATGATTGAAATACTATCACCTGGTCAAACCCCTGTTTCAGCCTCGTCCATAGAATGCAGCTTCTATATTTAGACTTTTTGTCCATGAAACAGCAGAATTGGATTTCGATGTCTTCATACCAAATATAGATCTATCTCTTAGCTTCAAAATGTTATAAAGATTACCTCAATCCAATATGTGTAGCTCCAAATATAGTCAAAATACGAAAATGTGTCAAAGTTGTTTTCACTTGCATTTCTTCAATTCACTTCATTTCTTCTTTATCACTTAAATTCATTACCAATTATCCACTTTTCACTTCAGTTGACATCCTTTGGTGATTGAATCATTAATCCTGCATGAAAATGAAGTTTTTACCATTAAAATCAATAGAAATGCAATGTTAGCCACTTTAACATAAAGTGTAGATTTTTACCAAAACCTTAGTTATTTTAGTTATAAAACTAAATAATCAAACCAAAATTAACTAATAAAATAAACCCTTATCACCCTTCGTTTCCAGTTGACTCGAGCCAGAAACGGACTCAGTTGGGCAGTTGGCGACCCTGGAACAATGTTTGGTATATTCGAGTATTATCACGAAGTCTGGTGGAGAACTGGCCAGTGAATTCAATGCAATGAAATCAATGAATGAATGACAAGAGCACTGAAGGTGTTTTCACTTGCAAATGTTTTCTAATGTCAGAGGGATAAGAAAAATGGTTGACGAATGACTGAATGAATGACATGAAT